AAAAAAAAAAAAAAACAAGAAAAAAAAAACGAAATGAAGCATAACCAAACGAAGAATTGCCAATCCGCACAGAGGAGAGCTATTCAACGGGGAGGCGCATTATCAACCCTACGTGAACTTCGGAGATGTTGAAAAAGTATCTCATCCTCTTGGCCGAGTTGACAACCTTTTTGGGGGCTACATCCGGCTCCACACGGACGCTGAGGTGGAGAAAAGGTGGGAGGTACAATGCAGAGGGGACAAATGAAATAAACAGTTCGCTTCTTTTTTTTAATTTTTTCTTTCATTCGAGGGGTGTTACCTGTTCCTATCTCTGAGTATTACAGGGCACTCCGACTTGACGATCTCCTCCAGTATTCTTTTGGTTTCTCCATTTTGGGACCCTTCATCGCCTTCGTAGCAGTAGTCGACGAAGTCACGCATCTCGATGCCGATGCTTGAGAACCAGATGGCCTTCTTCAGCTGCGGGCAGTTGTTGGAGGGTGTAGACACGGGTAATCAGGTGAGTAAGGCGACTGTGGAGTAGCCACGGCTACAGAGCTATATGCACAGGCAGAGAAGACTCGCTCATATGCCCGTGTGAAGAGCACCCCTTAGGGAAGGCGCCACTGAAGAGAGGGACATTCCCTTCCACTACCACCTCCTCCATATGGACTATTTTCCTACCGACCTGTACCTTATTCTTGGGGTCGCTGCAAGCACAGCAGATGGAAGCAAAGCTTTCGAAATTCTTCATGAAATTCAGGCACTCGTTAAGTAGCGCCGTTTCATTGTTCGCTGTGATGGCATTGCTGAGGAGAAGCTGCTTATTTGCTCTCAGGTCAAAATTGTGGACAACCACTGACGTATAGAAGTGGGACTTCCTCACATGGTGAATGAGGGGGAGGTTGTTCTTCCTTTGGGGGAAGCTCCTTTGGGGAAAGCTCCTTGGGGGGATACTCCGTGGGGGGACACTTCTAAAGAGGATACTTTTTGACGAGCCTCTCCTTGACGGGCATTTCCTCACTGCATTCATTTTCGTAAAAGCATCTTTTTCCCGGTGTGCACCTCATACATGTGCTCGTGCGTTCACTCCAGGTAGATTCCCAGCGGGGGAAAAACGAACAGTGATAGCGCTCTACAGATGTTGTAGAATGTGTGACCGTTGGAGGTTCTGCTGAGCTGTGATGGTGCTGCATGGTGGCCACCACCTCTTTAAAGTTTACCCACTATTAAGCAAAAAAAAAAGAAAGAAAATGCAAAAAAATGAGGGCTTCCACGAATGGGTCGTTTATTGTGGCGCTGCCTGGCTCATTTGAGAGTCTATTCAGTTGAGTTTTTTATTTTTTCTTTTTTTTTTTTTTTTTAAGATGTTAGCACAAAATGGCTAGTCGCCCTCAGAACATTCACCTATCGCGTAGTTTTTTCCTTCCTCTTCGTTGGACCTCCACCGACGTGACTACCGCGAGTAGGGCAAAAGGAGTGCACAGGTAAAATCACTCCGTTGGAGCCCACCTTGCGTATGGCCTTCTGAACTTTACCACGTGACAACTGTGGGGAGGAAGCAAACGGGCAGGGACTCCTTGACGGAAGAGATTTCCCCTTTGCAAAACGGATAACCCATGGAGACACAGTCAAGTCACCACAAAAATTGGCCGCCCAAATGGCTGCGTGTAATTTATCGGCTAGGCCGTCATAATATGTTTTCCGTTTTTTTCTAATTGTTTTTTTTTTTCTCGAAATAGTAATTTATTCATTTGCTTTTTTTTTATTTTTTTTCTGTTGTCGTTCTCTCTATTATTTGTTGTCCCTTTTTATCACCTGACTTGTTCAGGCGATTTTCTCCAGTTTGCGGGAAGTAATTAAGTGCGCGGCTAAGCTGTGGAAAGGGGAAACGGCCGAAAGAGTAACATTTAAACATGCAAGAGGAAGGAACTACCATATGGACGGGTACTTACGTATGAACTCCTCTCCTCGTCGCCCCATTCCCCTTCTGCCAAAATGAACGTCGTGGAGCTTCTCGAGAAAAAACACTTTAAGGCCATAGAGAGGAGCGTCAAAAGGAGGAAGCTGAAAAAGTACTTCTTCGCCCTTTCAAGGTTTAATAGTCTGTATAAGGGGAAGAACAAAGCTGTGGGGAAGCTCTGGAGGGACATTTCATCTGGGGGGGAATACCTCGACACGATTAACACTTTCGCATTTGTGAATTTTAAATATGTATGCGAATTTGTGAAGCGATTGGGGGGGGGGAGTCCTCCCGAATGGGTGGATGGACAGGATGGGTTGCACTCATTGGAATGGCCATACTTGCCGCCTGCTACTTTGGGGGGTGACATCGAGAGAGATCCCCAAAGCGTTGCGGATCTTTTCCTCGTACAGTTGTTCCGTGTGGTGAGGCTCCACGCGAGTATGAAAAGGTGGCGTAACCGTGCCAACACTAAATGTGAAGTCCCACTTGAAGGAGCATCCAGAGATGAGGACAAACCAAGTAGGGACATACCCCACCTATATGACCTTATCTTTATTAACCAAAAGAGAGAGTTTGAAATTTTGTTCAGTTTGGTTCACCCCCTTGTGCATAATATATATGCAACGAACCTCATCGCAGACGTGATGATGACGTCCACACCCATAGACATGGACAAGTGCTACATGCAGTTGCTCCTTTCTGTGTTGCTTCATCTGTACAAAAAAAAAAAAGACATCCTTTTTTTTTATTTTATGATATACAAAAAATGGAAGGGAGTGAGAAAAAACATTTCCAACAGGATGGAAATTATTATCGAATGGGAAGCAATAAAACTTCTTGTCAGAAAGAATAAAAAGGACATTTACGATTTTAAGTGTTTGCGATATTTCCTCCTTAACCTGTGCGATCGTTCTGCTATTCATCGAATGGTGAACTATGCCTTCTCATTTTTACGTCATCTTTTTTTATCCCATCATCCAAACACTTGGGAGATGGATTTTTGGACATACAGGAAGGAAAGCAACTATTACGAGTTTGCCTTTTTTCTTTACCTTTCCGTTGAAGATCTGTGTGACGCAGAGTTAGTGTTTTTTGTCCCTCCCCTCGAAAAAATAAAGAAATTACTCCAATGTGAACAGCCAACTTGTGCGGTGGACATTTATTTGCTACTCCACTTTATCGACAAATGTGACTGCGAGCTTTCCGTCAAGTTGAGACTCATTTTGGTGTCGCTCATTCGATGTGCCAGTTCTCCTGACTTGTTCAGGCAACATGAGGAGAGCTTCTTCCGTGCTGTGGTGGAGCCCGCAAGGGCGCAGCTGCTGGCTGGGTCACTCCCCGATGAGCCGCCAGCTGATGATCCGCAACTCGATGAGCGGCAACTCGATGAGCGGCAACCCAATGAGCCGCCACCGCGGCACCGCCGCATCGCTCAGTTCATTTCCAGCTACCTGTCCGAGAAGGACGACTTAATCATGCGGACCACTAAAAAGGACTCCTTCTTCAACGCCGCCTGCATAGTTAAGTACATCCACGTCAGCTGCTACAACATCGTTAACAACAGGAAGGAGTACACAGTGAAGTACGACAATCTAGAGAGTGATCGAGAAGCCCCCACGGCGCACCCCTACGAGTACAACCTACACAGCGATGTGACGAGTTACAAGAATTACTTGTCGTCCAGTGTTAATGGAGACACATGCAGGAAGTATGCAACGATTGTATCGATCCTCCTGCACATGAATCTACTCCGGCTGAGTGACATCTGGAGCTTCACACTGACGAAGTTGGTGGAGAACAATGTATTCTTCCAGATAATGAATTTGATACGGCTGCGGAGGAAGAGCTCACTTTTGTGCCTGACCATTTCGAGCCTCCTGAAGGTGCGCTACGAGGCTGTGCAGGAGTACGCGCGCGCGGAGGGGGGCGCCACGGTTTCGGGCACAGTTGGAGGAAGCGTTGCCGGTAGCGTTGTCGGCAGCGTTGGCGCCCGTTTGGGTGGCGGTTTGACAGGAGGCTTCTTTGGCAGCTTGTTTGGGAGCTTGTCTGGAAGCTTGCCTGACGAGTTGGTTGACTTCTTGGATGTTGACCCGGTCTGCCACCTGCGCGGAGAGTTGCGTGGAGACTTGTTTCCACCCGCGCTGACCAAGAGACGCGCTCTTAGGAAAGACGTGCTGGAGTACGCATCTAACGAAAACAAGCTGCTAGATATCCTATGCTACCTCTCGATGAACATAAAAAAGGACCTCCTCAAATTGCCTCTAATTATTCTAAAAATTCTTTTTAAAAATGTCCTTAAATATCTGTCTAAACCCCTGCACGATGTGAAGAAGAGCATAAGCCATTACTTCGATAGAATGTCCTTAAGGATAGGAGCCTACCTTTTTGAGCTCATGCACATAATGTCCAGTTCGATTTACTACCAAGGGGAAGTACACTCCATAGTCCATTACCGGAAGAAGTTTCACCTCTTCCCTGTTTATTTCATTTTGGTGGATGTTTATGTTAAGTTTACTGAGAAGTACAGCGAGAAGAACAACGCTGTTTTTCCCTCTCTTCTGAGTTACACTTTTGTGCAGGGCTTCCTCTTCCTTTTTGACTACCCCAGAGGGACTTCCCTCATGGGGAATGGTCTCTCCAGGAGGAACAAAGTTGAGGATGCTCTTAATCCATTCCTTCGCAGGGGTAATGAGAGTGGTGCACGGGGGGGGAAGAAGAAGAGCCAATTGTTGAGCCGAGTATGCAGCGATTATCCTTTCACCTGGAGCGGTAGCCAAAGGGGAATCCCTCCCCCAAGTTCCCGATTAACACAGATGGATGATATGAACCTAATGAAGCAAAGTCACTACAGTTACGTGGACTTGTCGCAGATAGAGGGGAAAGGAAAGAAAAGAGGCATCGACTCCGTCGGAAAGGAGAAGAGTACCTTCAATGAAGCGTACTCCCAACACATTGTCTCCATTACGAAGAGATTTATTGAGGCAAATAAGAATGAAGTATCCTGTTATTTTTACACTCTCCTGATGTTTGCCATTGCTCGAGTCCACACGTCCGTCTGCTACCGATATAGGGAAATTAACTACCTAGTCATTTTGCACGTCCTTCCATGGAAGACTTGCTTGAATTTCTGCAGAACGGACTCTCAACTGAGTTGCTTTTTTTTCCAAAAATGGTACGAATGCGTCCATGCGTTGCTACCCGAGATTATCCTCACGCAGTTTTCTGCAGGGGTGATGGGGGACACTGAGATGATCGATGCGGAAGAGGATGGCGACGACGGGTACATCATCCCTTGTGACGTCGTCGACACAGGCACAGTTGACCCTTTGGGAAGTTACTCCCATCTGGATGCTTCAAATGGATTATATGTCCAAATTGTGAGGGCCAGAGAAGCTATGATGAGGCTTCTCCTTAGTGCTTCGCAGGACTCAACAGTGTGTGCCCCGGATGGAGCGATCATCATGGGGTTAGAAAGCTCTCTGCTGCGGAACTGCCTGTTGGTGGTTACCTTCATCGAGGTGATCTTCTTGAATAGGGGCGTCCCTCTGGGAAGTGCTTCAACTGTGGAGGGTGTCGATGTGGGGAGTCCCCCTTTGGACAGTCCCCTTCTTCGCGGCGCGGTTGGGAATGGCTCCAATTCCGGAGGAGACTTCCCTTCCCGCATGTGCAACTTCGCCCAAGTGATGAGGGACCTCCTAGACGAACAACTCTGCGCGCACTACATCTCTGTGTTCCAGAACCCAGTGAATTTCTTCCTCAGAATTTCTCCAAAATATGGGCAACTTCTGGTGAGGCACAATTGCCTGGATAGCCTGGTGAGTTTTCTCTTTATAAAGCTGCAGAGCTATCTATCGCTGATACCGCCCCGGCTCTGCCCGGAGGACTTCCTGCCGCTGAACGTGGAGGATATCACGGCCCTGCAGGAGACGGCCGTGGCCCAGTGTGTGCTCAGCCTACGCGGGGGAGAAGCAGACACGGGGTATGAAGCGGGGGAAGAGGCAGACGAGCGGTACAAAGCGGAGGAAGCGGCAGGCACGCGGTACAAAGCGGAGGAAGCGGCAGACACGAGTTACGAAGCGAGGGAAGAAGCAGACGAGCGAAACGAAGTGGGAAGGAGAATGAGGCCAACCGGGCCAATCCTCGGAGACCTAAACTTCTTCCTAAAGAAAATGGATGCGCTCGTAAAAACGCTGAGCGCGAGCAGCTTGCAGAGTCTATGCGAGTCGGCCTTCGACACGCGTAGCGCCTTCTACCTCTCCTTCTATCTCCGCCCGGACACATTCCATACCGTGTTTCACTATCTGGCAAACAATGTGACGGCTATCACCAGCGACAGCTTCAATTTGGAAGACAATCTCAACTACTACAAGAAAATTTACATGAAAAAAAAAGAACCCGTTTTGAACCCATACAATATACTGAACAAGACGACTTTCTACACACAGATGGTTGTTTTTTATTTAATTATAAATGCCAATAATGAAAGGATGGAGGTGGAAAGCTACAAGAAGAGCTTGTGTTGCTGCTTTAAGGTTTGCCTCCAGGGATGCTTCAAACCTCACATGGACGACTTCGTTTTGTCTATTATGCCTACCATGTTGCAATTTTATTACTTCTTTCCATCTTTTATCCCTGATCTGTTGGGTGCCCTAATCGAGATTGAGATGAAGGAGGAGAACGAGGTGCTGGGCAGGGAGCTGTCGCAGTTCGAGAAGCGCCTTCGTCGGGTGCTCGAGGTGTCTTACGTGCACAGTGCGAAGGGGGTGCAGCGGAGTGGTGGTGCTCACTCTGCTGGCAAGTGAAGGCGATGTGTAGGCGATGTGGAAGCCAAATGGAAGCAACGTGGAAGCAACGTGGAAGCGATCGCTTTCGGCTTGCGTTCCTTCCCGGCAAAGACAATGGAGCAGAACTGCATACAGAGACCTCTGGGGATTTAAAAAAGGTTGTTCAAGGGAAAGTCGATTCAAAGATGGCCGCCAAATGGGCTACTCAAAAAAGGGCCTAAAAAACGGTGTAGGGAACCGCAAAACAGGGCAGCGAGTCGTACAGCGAGTCGTGCATCAACTCGGGGCCGAGGTCAAAATTGGGTGCGCACACGCACGGGTGGGAAAGGGGGGCACAAAAGGGGTATGCAATCTGGGTGCGTACAACCCACATATGTGTGTGTATAGGGACTAAAAAAAAAAAACTCGAAAACGTCTCGAAAGGGGCTCAAAAAGGACCTCTCGCCGGATTCTGGCAAACTCTAAAGCAAGAGGCCGTCGCGATGGCACTCCGCGATGGAACCCGCGCGTTTTGAAAGGGGAAGAAAAGGGCAGCTAGGGGTGGTGGCCGCGTACCGATTGGATAGTCATCACACCGATTGGGTGGGCGCGTACCGCTCGGCATCACTCCGTCTGCTTCTGAATCAGCGCGGCGAGCGCCGCCTGCGTCTTGATCTCGGAGTAGCTGCACTTGTAGGAGACCTCGCCCTTGGTCATGACGTAAATTACGTCGCAGCAAGAGAGCGTGCTCGCATCGTGAGCGATGATCAACACAGTGATGTGCGAGAAGTAGTTTCGTATGATATACTCAAAGGATTTCACGTCTCTGGAGAAAAAGTTATTGGCATTGCTGTTGTTCAAATTTAAGTTGAGGACAGGGATCTCATCGATGAGTACGAGCTTGTACGTGTGTCTGTTTAGGAAGATCCGCACCAAAGCTAAGTAACGAATGCAGTCATCCGAGACGGAAAGAAAGTTTGCTACGGTGGAAGACTTACTACTCTTGTTGCACTTGTCCGTTCCGTTAGTGATTGCTCTATCCTTGTGAGACGATTTCTTCTTCTGTTTGTAGATATATTTGTACAAATCGTCCCTGCGTAGATTGATGCCGATTAATTTAAAGGCATCCATTATTTGGTCGTCTGTGAAGTTGCTGTAAGGGTCTATATACGTGCGTATGTTCCAGTGAAAGAATACGAAAGAGGACTGAGGGAGGAGACCAATGATGCCTTTTTTTTCCTCCAGAGTCATGGTCTTGATGTCTCTGCCCTCGATGGATATTGTCCCCCTCGTGGTGGGGATGAGGCCCAGGACGGACAGGATGGTGGTGCTCTTTCCTGCCCCCGACCTGCCGACGATGCCGATTTTCTGCCCCTTGAGCGCGCATATGTTCATATTTCGCAGGCAGGACTTGTCATTCGCGTAGTAGTAGAGGTTGCGCGATTTGTCGATGAAGATCTTCTTTTTGTAGCTGACGAAGACGTTTTCGAAGTGGAGCCCATACTTGGCTTTGTCGGGTGGGCACTTGGCCGGTACGAAGTTTTCCGGTACGGAGTTTTCCTTGACGCGGTTTCCTGGCATTCGATTTTCCTTGACGCGGTTTTCTTCCATTCGGCTTGCCTCACCCCCATCGTCGCCGTAGCCCATCGGCTCGTTTATCATCTGCGAGGTCTCCTGCAGGCGTTGCGTGCTGCACATCTCCTTCTCCACGTGCGTGTAGTCATACAACAGGGATTTTATGATAAACCCTAAGCTGCAAGAAAAGGTGATACAGTATCCAATGGTGCTCGCATTTTTCTCCTCGTTCATGAAGTTAGTGTCCTGCTTGTTCCCAAGGTACGGATGCAAAACGTAGGGGTAAATGATATAAAAAGCGGTGAGGCATAACACGATGAGCTGAACATAGAGGGAGGCCCATATCGTTAAGCACCACTTAAAAATGGCGTAATTCTGAAAAACAAAGACACGTTTTGTATACAAGTCTAGGAAGTGCTTATTCTTCTTGTACAGGTTAATGATGTCCTTCCCTATTAAGGTATTACTGTAGATGGTGCAGAGAGGGGCGTGGCTACTGAGGTATCCTCGCTGGGCTTCCTTACACCCCCTAGAATATTTCTGGAACACGCAAAAGTATATCATAAGGAGGATCAGCGGGAAGACATAGACAGTGGAATAAACCATATAGTTCAGGAGAAAGATGGTAAAGAGAAAACGAAAGAAAGTGTAAAACGTTTTGTATATCCTCTTGATGATTCCATTATCCAGAACATTAATATCTGTGATCAATCGATTGATTATGTTTCCCAGGTTATTGCTGTAGAAGGCGTGGATAGGGGCATAGAGAATGCTCCTCAGCACTTGTGTGTGAACTCTGGTAGCTGATATTGCTATGCCGCGTGAAATCAGCATAAATGAAATTAACGTAGTGACCAAAGAGACGCATGGGAGAAGAACAAAGAACTTCAAATAGACTAGCTGCTTTCTTAATATTTCCGAGTCACTCTGTTTTTCACTTCTGATCAACGTGCTTGTCATAAAGAGTAGCATGTTCTTGATCTCGTCTGTAAAGATAGAGGCTATCATGAAGAATAGTATCACTGCTATGAGGGGCTTGCCTATCATACACAGGTACCAAACGAAGGTCTCCCATTTGATGTTCCCCTTAAATCGAAGCTCTTCTTCTTCCCCTTCATCTCCGTTTTCTTGGTTCCCCAAATATTCGTATGTGTAGTTACCCTTCAGCTGTGCCTGCAGCACTTTGTTCACTTTTTCAAACTCGTTCAGCGTTATTTTATCGTCCTGCTGGAAGGAGAGGTTGCAGTTGTAGTTGTGTGTACTATCGCCACAGCTTCTCCTCTTCACTAGCACCTCCGCGTAGTTACTGATGGTCGCTTCTTTGCCGAGGCTCTTCAATCTACTAAAACTCATGCTGCTGAAAGTATTCATCCTATGCTCGTCGCGCTTCTCCACGTAGTTCTGCGTCACTCTGGTGTACTTTCGCCCGACCTCAAGCAGAGACAGAGAGTCCAGCGGCTCCACTCTGAACAAGTAGGTACTCTTTAGCTCCTTCAGAGTCACAAATTTCTGATACCTCATGTCGCTCTTGTGGCTGTTATTTTTGTTTCCGCTCTGTTGGTGTGAGAAGAACTCCAGCATTTTGCTCGTGCTGTTGTGAGCTGCGGAGGGGGAGGAGGATGTGGAAGGCGTGGAAGCCTCGAAAGCTGCCACACCTGCGACATGTGCGACACCTGCATTAGCTGCTACACCTGCGACTCCTCCATTTGCTGCCCTCGGAGAGGACCCCTCGTTGGAGCGCTCCCCGGGCTGCGCCACGATCCCATTCTTGTTCATGTAAGCATGGACGTCCCCCTCGTACACCAGCGTGCGGTTCTGCAGGCGATAAATCTCCACACCGTATTGAAGGTCGCGAAGGAGGTCGTCTTCTAGGAAGCTATTCCAGATGTTCTCGTTGGCGGTGAGCACAAATCCGCAGTTCGCCTTAAACTCCTCCACGTTCTCTTTACTACAGAAAAGGTTATAAAAGATATTCTTCGATATGCATGGGTCCAATGCACAGAAGAGATCATCCAGGAGGTAGAGGTAGGAGATCTGCTCCTCGTCCAGGCAGTCCCTTAGAAGAGAGTTCTTCTTGAAGAGGTCACTATGATGCTTTGTGTACATTTCTCCTTCTGGTCCGATAATCACACCGCTATTGCTTTCGGAATGGTATTTCTGCTCTTCGTCGTGTGTCTTTTCCCCTTTTGCATTCTTCCCTCGACTATTATATGAATACATGTTCGTCATATTCTTCACATTCGTCACATTCTTCACATTCGTCACATTCGTCACATTCGACACATTCGTCATATTCGTCGTGTTGAGGGTATAGTTCGTCGAATTGTCCACGTCGTTTAGCTGGTACTTCTTCTCCTGTGAAGAAGTTGCCTCATCATGCTGCTCATCGGTTGCTTCTTTTCCTACATGATCTGTATCCCTTTTGACGAAGCGCCTTTTCGTTTTCTCTCTCTCGGGGTGCCACCCGCTATCGTTACTTCCACGACTTCGCCCTGTAGATAAGCAGCTCCCCCTTTTGTTCAGACCTTCTTTGGGGACTCTTTCACGCCACTTCTTATTTATCCTCACATCTCTCTCGTAATCCATCACCAGGTCACTCATGTGTATATAATGATGGTACAGACCCCGCGCTAAACAGATTCTAGCTTTCTGTCCTTTGCTGAGACTGTGTTCGTCATTAACGTATCTTAAGTCCTTCCTCTTAAATGTGTTCATATCATTTAGGAGCTCGCTCTGCTGAATGACTCGATAGTAGAGAAAGGGGTCGAATCGATTTCCAAAGAGAATCATAGATCGGATGGTCCCGATGGTTATCCAATAGGACTGTGGCACATACATAACGGGCATGTCGTGGGCGAAGCTCTTCACGTAACAGCTCCCATGCGACAGCCTCAGCTTCCCCAACAGGGAGTTAAAAAAGAGCGTTTTCCCAGACCCCACATTTCCAAGAATCACCACCAGGGTGTTGTTCTTCAGCGTCAGGTTGACGTTCTTAAGCAGCGCGTCTCCCGCGCGAGGGTCGCAGCTGGGGTGGTGGCTGGCATCGCGGCTGGCATCGCGGCTTGTATTGCCGCTGAGATGTGGATCCCTTCCCGTGGGCGCCTTCTCCCGAGTGAAGTAGCACCTGCTCATCTTTAAAATCACGTCCCCGGGGTGGTGGCCCGCACCCGCCCCGACCGTCACTGGAGCGGCCATCCCGACTGCATTTGCGGCAGTCATAGCGGTAGCTTTGGGGGCTTCCATCCCGGCTGCATTTGCGGCTTCCCCCGCTGTTCCCCCCGCTGCTCCCCCCGCTGCTATTCCTACAGGTGCATCCCCCCCGGGGCGGTCGCCCCTCTGCCTACCCCCCTGGTCGCTGCTGCAATGGTAGTGGGTGCTGTGACTACTGCTCTTATCCGCGCCGGTCTTTCTGTACCCTTTGTTGAAAAACATATATTTGAAGAAGTCCTTCCAGTTGGCGTCCTCACAGTGGTTGTTCCAGCCGCGATTCTGAGTGTTCTTCCCGCCGCTATTTCCGCCGCTATCCTCGCCGATGCTCCTGTTTTGGCCCCGTGGAGTGGCGGAGGGGTGGATGGCAATCTGGTGGTGACGCCCCCCGGAGTAGCCACGACCTTGATGGTTCTGGCTATCCTCCTTCAGCTCGCTTCCCTCGCTGTGAAACATGTAGTGGTGTATATACCTGTTAAGTCTCCCTATGTTGATCGTCCCCTCAAGTAAGTTATTAATAAAATTGGGGAAGTTAGACATACCAGCAATGAGTGATTTGTACAAAAACAAAGGACTGATGATGGAGCTCACGTTTATTGGCTTATTGCTATTTAACTGTCCTCTCATGAAGATAAAGAAAATGGCGACTTCTATGACATTCATTGAGATAGCATTCATATAGCTGCTCAAAGAACTGAGGTATATTCTTAGAGAACAGATTTTCATCTCTTCTTTTCTGTGTCTATTCACATAATCGAATGCGATGGCTTCCCAATTAAACATCTTCATCAATTTGTACTCCTGCAGAATGTGATGCATGTTATTTATCCGAGCGTCTCTACATCGGAGATGTTTTTTCTTGAACAAACTGGAAGCGAGCTCAAAGGCGAACATGAGACTGTATAGAAATAGGATAAGGAGGATTCCATTTGCTATTGCTTCTCTACCCATCTTGCAGTAAAACATGTAGAAAGAGAGGCAAAATTTTATTACAATATTACAGAGATCGATCATAGAACTGATATAGTAAATGATGAAGGGAGTATCGACGAACATGATATTGTAGATGCTGATATCGCACAAGTCGCTTTCTGTTTTTTCTGCTCCTTCGTGGGGTGGTGGCCCTTCTGACCATTCGCTGTCTTCACCGCTGGCTAGTGTGTATGGCTCCTGCGTTTTGATAATTTTCCCCTTGGGTAACGCTCCCAACTGAGGATCACCGATTTGTACTTCTCGCTTCGAACCAACACTGTGCGGAGGCTCTCCGTGTTTATTTCCCCCTCGGGTGGGTTCCTTCACAGCAGCGTCTCCCGCAATCGAGTCTCCCGCAACCGGCTGGCACGCGAACGACGGGCAGGAGATGGGCTCACCACCAGCCCGGTCGCTCGAGACCCCCTCCACTTGCACGGAGTGGCGGTTTACACCCTTGGTCCCTCTCTTTGTCTCTTCCTTTAGCTCCCCATTTGTCCCCTTCATCCCGAGAGGGCCGGAATCCTCCGCCCCTTTTGACGCCTCATCGTTGTTGTCCCCCCCCGCTGCTAAGATGGGGATGGCGTCCTGCACATCTCCCACCCCGACATAAGGTGAGCTGCTTAATCTGCCCCGAAAGTGCGCCAAATTTATCTTATACAAAAAATACATCAGCGTGATTTCCATGTTTAGCCTTAATCGGTAATCAAAGAATGTTAAAATCGCTTCGAAAAACAAATTGAAGCATATCACTGCAATTAGGAAGAGACCAAATGCGATTTCTTTGTATTCCTGAACGAAAGGGATCCAAGCCATCCCCTGTCCCTTTATTAGAAGGATATAGTTCTCAATACACAGAGACACAAAAATGAGAAGAATCGTGTGAATCACATAGAAGAAGGTAATACAACTTAATTGTTTTCTAAACGTTTTCAGCAGGGCCAAGGTGATTCCTTTCTTCTGCACCGAGTAGTAAGTCGCTTCTATTGATATTCCATTCAGCCTGTTTTGATGAGATTCTTCATTTGGGTTCACTGTACCACTACCATGTTGTTTCTTCCTCTTTTTAACTCCTCTCATATGTTTCTCCAACTTATATGTGTTGTATTCAATCGCGTCATTTTCTTCTATTTTTGGGAGTCTGAAATTATCTTCTTCCCTTAGCTTATTCAATATGACGAAGATCCAGTGGAAGGTTAAGAACCCGAACCACGAGCTGTCTGCGATAATGTTCCCTCGTTTTCTCGTGGCACCCTTTCCCTTCGCGTTCCTTCCACTCATGGTGCCCTCGGGGGGGAGAGCAGCGATCGGGCGGTGAAGTGGTGAAGTGGTGAAGTGGCGAAGCGGTGCCTCTGTTGTCCTCTTTCCGTCCCCTTCGAACGGCGCGAACCGCCACCACCCCGTTTTCGAAGAGATTTGCAGGCGGTTATTCGCTCGAGAGTCACTTGGCCAGTGCGCTACGCGATCAATCGGATGCGTAATGAACCGGTAAGTTGTTTGTCAGAACCTCCGCCTTGCATTATTTAGGCCAGCGGTGTGGCAGGCGATGCTGCTAGTCGGGGGAAACGCACAACCGCTGGATATCCTGCCCTGCTATAGCCAGCCGAGTGATCCTTCACGCTTCGCTGTCTACGCACTTGTCCACACGACTACACCAATTAACTGAGGAGTGCGCCTGGGAGGAGACTGCAAAGACGACTCGACATAACCGTGAAAACGATGGGACGTCTTGCACGGGTCTTAAAAAATGGCACGCCAGTAAAGCGAGGTGCAGCTCATTTTTGCTGAAAATGTGTGCACCTATTGGGAGGAAAAGAAAAAAAACAAACAGACAAATAAATAAATAAACAAACGAAGAAATAAAGCAATAAACAAACGAAGAAATAAAGAAATAAAGAAACAAACGAACAAAGAATCAAAGAAACAAACGAACAAAGAATCAAAGAAACAAACGAACAAAGAATCAAAGAAACAAAGGAATAAAGAAACACAGGAACAATGCAACAATGAAGCAATCAAACAATGAAACAATGAAACTTAACGTATGTGCTGTACAAGACACGCATCTGATCAATGGGATGGAAACTCCCCGCCTGAGGGAACCTCCGCGTTTCCCCTGTTACAACCGTTTCCCCCTGACAAACGTGGGTACCATGCAACAACAACAAGGCACGATGCGAGTGGCGAAATGGGGACGCCGCGGTCCAGGTCGCTCTAGCAGGGAGAGTGTATACACGGAACAAGCAAAACGCACCGCTTCGATGGGTGATCTGCTGTTCCTCGTACGTGTGAGAGCACAGTGGAGGGTTCGCACAGGAGGAAACTCCTGCAGACGTGTCGCACCGGTAAAGGTCACAGGTTACAAATCACAATCGTTCCCCCTCTCAGCGTAATCGAAATGAGTGCTCACTGACCAACGCAATATGCATGTGGTAAAAAAAAAAAAAAAAAAAAATTCTCTCTAGCTTTATTCGTACAACATGGTTTGATTCATTCTCTAACTTCTTTCATTCTTTCTTTTTTTTTTTTTTTTCTACATCGCTATTAATGCTTTTCCTTTTCCTCCTTTTCCCTTCTCCGATTATCACTACACCATGGAGGGTTCACCGATCAGGGTGTGTGTGGGTGGGCGGGGAGTGTGCTATGACATGAACATGCATAATTTCATGAGGTTAGTGAACACTTGCGGGGGTTCGACGACATTGTATGCCATTTTTTAAGTAGAGGTTCTACTGGAGGGGTAGAGAAGGAAAAGGTTTTTTTTATCTTCTGCCCCTTCGAATGTAAATAAAACCGATTAGTGAACGCCTTCCGTCTCTACAGAGATGGAAGAGGCAGTCGTTTCCTTGGTTGGTCCGCCCCAACCTCCTGTTGGTGGGAACTATGGGGAAAAGTGCCTCACGAAGGAACTTGTTGACGCCAAGTGAAGAAGGTAGTCGCCAGGGGGAAGTTACGTGCTAGGAGCTTCCGGAGAGTCATTTATGGATACCTCTACAAGAGATGGATTCGCGATAGTTTACGCGCCTGTGCGGCGGGGCACAACGGTAAACGCTAGCGAAACGCAGACGGAGACGTAAACGCGGCCATGAGGAGAAATGCAAACAGAGGCACAAACAGAGGCACAAACAGAGGTGCAACTGAGTTGCAAACATGAACGGAAGCAACGTAGAAACTAAGCACTCGCGTTCTCTATGCGCGCACGCATAGGTAGGGTACATATCGATATATAATATATTACACTACCTCTGAACACGGATATCTTCAGCAACTGCACGACGCGCCACTTGGCGCTTTTCGCTCTTTGTTCATCTTTTTTTTTTTTCTCTATTTCTTCGCATCTGTCATTGACGGGTGGATGTTGCCACCTCTATCTGCGGTGTGGAAAAAAAAAAAAAAAAAAAAACATTCCCTCTTTTTTGTTTTCCTTTTTTTAATGTTTTATTTTTTTTTTGTTTTTTTTTTCACTTCAGTGTTTCAAATAACACCACTTCTTCTTCCGCACGTGAGAATTGCTCAATGACATATAAATGTATAGTTGCGCCGGGGAGAACCCTTTCCCGCGGACTCGCCTCTCCGCGTCGTGTTTCTCCGACGTTATATTTTAATATCCTTGTGGGGAGGTGAACGAAGAGAAATGTTGCTATAATGCCGCCATGTACATTTAAGTACCTCTACCATGGGCTGATCGTATGTCATCACTTTTATCTGTATCCTTTTTCACATGCACAGCGCATGCGTGACGAGAAAAATACAAAAGAAACAGAAAATTGCCAAAGTTACAGAGCATGCGCTCAACTTGATTTAGGAAGCGACCAAAAGAGGGGTCCGGGGAGGAGGATGAGACGTCACCCTTCTTTCATTGTTCCGTATCAACTGAGCCAATTTGGGGTGGGAACTTTTTTTTCTACGCTGATGTGTCACCCCAGTGGTAGTCTGCCCCGTTACCTGTCGTATTGTCATTTTTTCTGCCCCCCCCCTAGTCCTCTTCTCCGTGTCACGGCAAAATGGGATTCATTTTTTGGATCTGTTCTGTTTTGCGGGGGTGACCTTCGCCTCGTAAGGCGTTTCTCGTAAGGCGGTTTCCCTATGGCGGTTGCCAAACATGCATGCACATCGTGCCGGTCTGCAAGACCTTTTGCAATTTGGCATTTTTTAAAATTTAAACTGTTCCCGTTTGAGGGGGCGAAGCGGATTGGACACTTGGTCAGGTTTTTTCTCCTTTGGAGTGGCGAAAGGAAGGGGAAACCAAAACGCACGAGAGATCATCCTCTTTAATTACACCCTCTTAAGGAGAAATGACAGTTCACTATCTCTTTTTTTTTTTTTTTTCCCAAATGCCTGCCCATCAGTACAGCAGGGTCGTCTCCCCTGTGTAGAGCGCAGAAGAGGTTAGGCCCATCCAAGGGTGGGAAGCGCTACGGCCACGTAAACGTGGGGCCAAAAAGATGGGAACACATTTTAAAAGTTAAACAACTGGGGTGTCGTTTCTTCATCTCGTTAAGGTAAAGAATGGACGAAGCGGAAAAGGAAGAGGAGGGGGGAAGACCGAGGGCACGTTCGCAGTTGTTGGCAAGATGGTGAATACGAACAGAGCGTTGGGGATGTATGTCGTGTTTTGGCCGCTTGGCTTTCTCACTTGGGGCACCCCTTCCATGCTGCTCTGCTGAAAGTGTCAGGGGAGAATGTTTGCAGCGAAGTTACACTCACATTCGGGTGGTTCGGGTGGTTCGGGTGGTTCGGGTGGTTCGGCTTGTTCGGTTCGTTCGGTCGGCTCGCCCAATGGCGGGAACACGCGCAAAGCAGCTTTCGCAAACGGAGTGGCTCCACAGTGGTATGCGCGGTCTAGGGGTACCTCCGGACGATGATACGTGCATGCATGCACCCGTTCATGCAGTTGTTTAGTTGCACTAATCGACGTGCCATATGCGTAGTACTCCTTTTTTGCTTTTTATTTTATTTTCCCGGCACTCCATACGTACAGAAGATGGCATACCTGTGATATGCTTCTTTCTTTTTTTTTTTCTTTTTTCCTCCCCCTGTTTATACACACTTGGAATGATGGAAAGTTGCACGGGGTGGTTTTTCTCGCCCCAGAGAAAGTAGCCAATCGTGGAAGTGGAAAATTATTATTTTGTTATTTTGTCATTTTGTTATTTTGTTATTCTATTATTTTATTATCATTTTTTTTTTCTGCAGAAACGCCTGACTTGTTCATACGAAATATACCCTTCCTGCGTCCGTCCCCCGCGCAGGGTGCCAGTGCATAGGGTGACATTCACGGAGGTGTTTTCCCTCGCGCAGTAGTATGCACACCCGCGTGCCGCAAAGGTATGCGGAAAGGGGAAGAGTAAACGGGAAGAGTAAACGGGAAGAGTAAACGGGAAGTGGAAAAGGGAAGCGCAAACAGAACGTGGAAACGCGAAGTGGCAGGCAATTTCCTCAGACCCCTTTCCCCATTCCGCTTTTCCTCGTCCGATTTTCGCTTTCTTCTTTTCCTGGTCCGATTTCCCCCTTCATCTTTTCCCCTTCCTCTTTCTTCCACCTCCCCCAGTCGGGGCGAAGCAGCGCAAAGCAAAGCAGCTCCGCGTGGCGCGAATTAAAAAAAAAATAACGCGGCCGCGCCCCTCCACACGACGCGCCGCAAGAAAGCAAAGTAAAACCACTTCAATTGCTGAGTCCAATTATTTTTTCTCGAATCAGGAGGCAAACACACTCGCGTTTTCCTCATCAGTTGTTGTTCCCCCTACTTTTCCCCCCATCCATCGTAATCTCATTCTCCACCCACCCGCACACACCTAACCCAGACAAAAAAAAAAAAAAAAAAAAAAAAAAGAAAAAAAAAAACTGCACAGCGCAGCAATGAAGATACAGTATCACCTGTTGTTATTCACGTTCCTCCTGTCGGAAGACGTACTTTGTCGTAAAAGCATTTATGAAGATATAAAGGATGGCTCCGCGGAAGTGAAGCAGGGGGGTAGTGCTGGAAGCAACTATCTAACCCACGATGGGAAAAAGGCGTTGTGGCCGGGGGGGGGAGGCAACGACGAAAAAGGGGAAGAAAACAGGAGTAGCAACCAGCAGGGAGGACTCCTGTCTTCGGTACTCGGATCAGTCAAACGAATGTTCCTTTTTAATGACAAAGGAATTGAGAACAATGTCCAAGGGATCAGTGACAAAGTCGCCGAAATGAAAGATGGAATGATAACAAATCCCTCCAGCATAATTAAACATGCAAGTGAATTAAAAGATGAATTAAAAAAGAACACAGCCTATTGGGCCAACGTCGTTAAGACGACGGTCAGTGAGGAGCTGCATCAGATCGACAAGTTCAGTAAAGATCAGTTGGACAAACTGAGGAAGGATCCTGAAGAGAGTTTTTTTTTCACCAAACTGTTCCGCGGGGACAATGGGGCGGCGGATACTTCTTCTTCCTCCCACAAGGACAAGAGAACGGAAAATGGGCAAGGTGCTGTTGGGTCCAAGGGACCAAGTCGACATGACGACGCTGAGGTGGAGAAGGAAGAGAAGGCGAAATCGTTTTGGGACTTACTGCACATAGGGGGGGGTAATGCATCCCCCGCATCGGAAGGGAAGGAACCAAGTACCGGCTTCCTTCGAATGTTCAAAGGGGACACAAGTAAACCGAGTAACGTCGCAGAGAGGAAGGACTCCTTCTCGTGGTTCTCCACACACTCGTCTGAAAATGGCGATGCCAGTGGAAAGGACTCTTCCAAGGCGTCGACAGCAGAAGGAGAGACGGGGAAAGAGGTGAAGAAGATGTCGTTCCTGTCACACTTCACCTCGGAGGCGGAGGACGCAGGGAAGTCACCAAAGGGCTCAGACACAGAGAAGAACCAGGGATTTACCTTTAACTTGTTTAAAAGGAAGGACAGCAATGAGGAGTCCCCTTCGAGGACCCACTCAGAGAAGGATCACCAACGGAGCGACTCACACCCAAATGGCAGAGGGAGCTTATTCCAGTGGTTCAGTCCCCCCACTGAGGGAACAAACAATAATGACCACTCGCCGCAGAAGGAATACTCAGGAGGAGTGACGCAGGACTCGTTTAAGGGGTCCCAACATGACGAAGTGAAGGAGGAGAAGGAAGAAAAAAAAACCTTCTCCATTTTCAACATGTGGAAGGAGACACATAAGGAGAAAGAGGGAAAGCACGAAGATGAAGTCGAAACGGGTGTAAGAAGCAACACGAGTGAGGTGACCAATGGGGAAAGTAGGGAAGAAAGTACCAAGGAAAGCTTCTTTTCGTTTAACCCTTTTGGAGGATTCAAGTCTGACGGGGAATCCTCCCACGGAGGAGTCGCAGCTCCGGGCGAAACGACCAGTGCAGAAGGAATGGCACAGTCCGAATTGAGCAAAAGGAACAGTCACCTGGTTGATCTGATGAAGAACATATACGATGGAAAGAGTTCTGAAACGGGTGAAAGGGCGGAAAAAATCTTATCCTTTATGAACACGAAGCATGAGCACGATGCGAGTACCAACTGCCACCCACTGGTGTCGTTTAAGGCCTGTCTCAACACATGCTTCAATGTACCTCCAGCAGTGGAAGGAGGAGGAAGCAACGATGGGGATAATCACAACAATGTGAAGGATATGAAGAAGAAGAATCTCTCCGTCGGGGATTACAGGAAATTAGAGAAGTGTATCTTGAAATGTAGGAATACAAATTTTAGTGAGGGAGCTCCCGGGTGCGCAACGAAAGACGGCTCCGTTATCGCAAGTGACAAAGCAAGTTACGAGGAAAAACTGAAGACCCTGGAGAGGGGTAACTTCAATTTGGGAGAAAACTCCTCTGTGTTCTCCGATTTGACCCTACGTGATAAGTATACCGATGGGAAGCAGAGCCAATCAGTGAACACTGCTAAGGGGCAGATGGCATCGGGTAACTCCACATGGGTGATGGGTTCATCTGGAAAACATCTTACTTCTTCTCACACGAAGGTGCAAAGTGGTTCTCCGAATTTTCCCACACTGTCTGAAAAGGATCTGGGGACTCACTTGTACGGTATGAATTCTAGCAAGAGCAGCATGGGTGGAGATAAGAAGGAACCCACTGACGGGACGAAGAACATGAGTGCAGATAACTCCTTCAGCTTCTTTAAAGCCTTTGCACCGAAAACGGGTTCTACATCTGATGGTATGAAAACACTCGGTGCAGCCAATCCGTTGGACGAATCTCATAATGGAAAAAAGAGGGCTGCTACGGAAGGCGCAGCGGAGAAGTCAACTGCGGAAAGGGGAGTACACGGGGAGGGCCCTGAAAGCGTAAAACATCCAATTGGCGATGGCAATGGCGATGGTGACGAGGACGATGATGAATATTTGCACGACTTCAGCTACATATCGAAGGGATTCTTCATGCTCCTCCTGCTAGCTACCTTCTTCGTATACCTCTCCGCCTTCACAAACATAATCACTCAGTTTTATGTCTCATTCAAGGAAAAGGTGTGCCTTTATATAAAGGGGCAGTATAGGTCTCGATTCGACCAGACACATGGAGAATCCGCGGAGGCCTTCTTGCCCAAGGGCCGCCAGCTCTCCCATGGTAACGCCGTCCAGGGCTCATACGATAACTTGTACCACGCTTTTCACGAGAATGTCTGCCACGTGGCTTGAGCTGCGCGGGTAGGTGCCTTTGTGGAGGTTAACTCTATGGGGTTGGCGGTGGGCAGTGGGCGCCCTAAATGGGTAACCTGCTACTCCCACTACGCTGCAGCGCTGCCGTGCCTCCTCTCCCCATTATATGTCACTTTTTTGAAAGCTGCCAACTGGTGTTCCAGCACCACCCCCCTTCCCTCTTTTCTCCATGATGAATTAAAACCTATATTGTTACGATCCAGTTAACTTTCCCCAAAACACAACATCAGCGAAATTTTTTTAAAATCCTTCCCCTCCTGTGTGTCGTTATAATTTTTGCCCCCTTTTAAAGATGCCTCAAATGTTACTCCTTCCACTCCTCGCGGGAAAGACGGAGGGAGTCACAAAAAAAAGTGAAACAATTCGTCCTACCCCTGTGATGGGATTTTTCCAGTAGAAAAGGACGAAGCGTGTTAAAGATGTGCTGCGCTTCATATGCGTTTTATTTTTTTTTTTTTTTTTTTGACAATTTTTCCTTTACGTGCACGTGCACAACGTTGGTACCCAGCGGAAGGGGCACCCCTTTTTTTTTTTTTTTTTTTTTTACCCCTCCCCTGTTCTTTTTAACGCCCTGATGTGCATGCAAGGAGCCCCCAGAATATACCGGTGGATTGAAAAAAAAAAAAAGCCCTTTGCCCCTTTTTCACTGGTCAATGTTGGGGTACACGTTTTTCTCTCCTCTGTGGCGCTTCTCCGCCCCGGTGCTGCAACGCGGATATGGATCACCTGAATGAAGGCCACTCAAGCAGAGGAAAAGCATGCGAAAACAGCGGAGTGGGGAGCCTTTGCATGCAGAAGGAAGAGGCCACGAAATGGTGAGGTGCGCCTTTTCAAGAAAGTCCGTCATGCAAGTGAAGTCGGCCAAATGGGCCGCTTACCTCTGTATCCCCTTTGGTGCGCCCGTCTGCGGTTTTCTTTTCTCACCCAGCGCGCACCTTCGCGTCGTGATTATATTTTTCCTCCTACCCTTTCAAGCTGTACACCCGTTACAGTAGTACTGATTATGTAACAACTCTTTCCGTCAACGCACGTAGCGACTCTCCTTTTTTGTAAATCCTTTGACTTATCCCACTTCGATATGAACACAGAGGGTTACGTTCCTGCCCAACAGATATATGAACCAATCTTAACGTAGCAACTACTCACCTGCCTGCCTGTTACCCTTGCCAATTAGTCCCCATTTCACCTGACACGTAACCTTCAGCTCCCGTTCATATATTTCTCCTATCCACCTCGTGCGAAAATGCCGTGCTGTCAAGTCTCTACAAATATTAACGCTTCCGATGATGACGCGAAGAAGGTGCTGACCGAGATAGAGAATGGTATGTAGGAGGAGAGAAATAAAAAAGAAGGGGGGGGAAAAAAACAAGCGGTTCGTTATTCCACTCCCCTGTGGCCACCTCGAATTGCAATGTGGCTTGCGATGGGTCACTGTATGTTGTATAGCATATGAGCCGCCCCCATTTCTCACGCCTTCTAATTGTGCCGCTGCCAATCTCACCGGTTTAATTCCCCCCCCGCAGCCATATCCCAAGTGATGAACAAACCCATGGGGTACATCATGAGCAACCTGGACTACCAGAAGCACATGCGGTTTGGCGGGAGCCACGACGGCTTCTGCTTCGTGAGGGTCACCAGCATAAGTGGAATCAGCAGATCGAACAACACTGCCCTGGCCGATCAAATTACCAAAATTCTGGCGAACACGCTAAATGTGAAGTCCGAACGAGTCTTCATTGAATTTAAAGAATGCTCTCCGCAAAACTTTGCCTTCAACGGGTCCCTCTTCGGCTGAGCCGCTGGCGGGGCCGTCCTTATCGTGGTGCACCTTCCCGAGGGTATCCCTGTCATGGCGTTATACCCGATGTTAACCGAGTTCATCGTGATAACTGCGTATACGTGGGTGTACCCCCCGTTTGTGTGCCATGCATGAGAGTGAGTAAACACATATGTGTACAAGTTACGTCCGTATCGACATTGATGTCGAGTTCGTTGCCCACCTACACACACTATTGACGCATGACTCAACTGTGCGCAGAATGGGAACGACCTTTTTTAACACATCAACTGCGAACGTAGAGAAAAGACATTCCACAAGATGGTTAAAAAAGGGAGCGTACGAGCGTACTAATGCTGCTTCAACACCAGACAGGGATCCCTTCTAATTG